ATCTCCAACCACATTTTTTCTTTGAATATTACATTATGTTTAAGGAAGAGTGCAGCATATTCAAACAGACCATCAACATCAATATGGAAGATAATGACTTCCCAAAGGAGGTGTAAAACTTGCCTCATTGGCATCCAGCACCATAAACTCACAATGTAAATTAGCCTCAAGTTGTGTCACTTCAGGTACCCCATGCAATCAGTAGCCAATATATAAATTCAAAGGCTTAAGACTAAGACATTTACAAAATACTACCTATCTCATAATACACTTAGTGTGAATTTCTATTTATGCTAGAGGACACAGAAGGAAAACATAACAATCAGGAAAGCAGAGAATCATTAGAAAACTGTAGGAAAAGTAACCTTTTTGAATTGTATCCTGCAACAGTCAATGCAAGTGTAGCAACAGTTCAAGGAAACACAATAGAACTATTGCTGATACCAGTTTGAATAAATAGTATATGAACTCTTATAGGAGTACTTGAGAAGGGCAAGTAGGAATATTCATCAAGCACTAGCACAGAACGTCATTTCAATCATCTTCAGCTGCATTAGGGAAGAATGTTAATATGACTTCAAAACAATTAATTCAAGACTAATTGGGACTGAGGAAGCTCATTGTATCTTTTATCCTAATACTGGTAGTTAAAAGGTGATTTTAATTGCCATAGTAATCAGATATAATGAAGAGCAAAACTGTTTCTGATTAAATAACATTTGAATCAGAACTGCTGTTATAAGCTTTTCAGCTCCTAGAAAGCTGCCTTCAGTTCTTTTTCTCTCTCTTTCATTCAGATATGCACATGGAAGCAATGCTGCAAGAATTTTGCAGACGTTAAGTCAGATGGAAGTCCTGAAAGACTACGTATAAATGTATCATAGCTCAGTCTACTACAGCCCTCAAAAACTACGAATCACTGCTGAGAAACAACTATCAAGAACGTTCTCTTTCCACCGAGCTAGGGAATGCTACAGAAGGGACTGTTAAGCCCTTTACCTTTCCTGTAATGAGAAAGAATGGGTCATGATTTAGACTGAAATTTAAGATCTTGCAGTGTGGGTGAAGCCACTTAAGTGTTTCTATGTCTCCACACTTCACCAGCAGAAGAGGCACACAGAAGCACCTCACCAGTCCAGGAAATACAGCAAATGAATGCATAAATAATAGCAAAGGGCAAACACCAAGCTGAGCAACCTGGTCTTAAAAATACTGAGTTTACTTCACAAATAAGTATTACACAGGACTGTTCTTAGGTGACCCTGCAGCTTTCTGATCTCTCAGTTAAACCAAGAAACAGCCATTAATTGCAATGCTTAATTAATTCTAATCTGGATTCTCCAGTGGCCACAACGAAAAGCTGTTAGCTGGGTAACCAGGTAACAGCAAGAATTACTTATTACAGACCTACACACTCAAAGGTTGGAAAATGTAGGAACCGTATTGTTGTGACCTGAAAGGCTGTAGGAATGTGTTAAAATTTTATTCTTGAAGATACAGCTGGAGAAATAACGGAGAGTTCGGTTAAAACACCCTTTGGGTGAAAATCACCTTGTCAAAATGACAGCTCGAGAGGACATCTGTCTCCTTCCTCTAAGTCTTCTGTGTCACATTCACTTAGACAAATTTACAAACTATTTCTATAAGCAGCAAAGAGCATACAGAAGTAGGTATATTGAGAAAAAAATTGTTACTTGGCAAAAAACCAGTTAATTGGATATAAATGTAATGGAATCCAGTGGGGATGGAGCTATCCTCTCGCCTCCTACCATGGCAATAATAGTAGTAATATGTGAAATGGATATTTCAATATATTTAAAAATTGGAAAAAATAAGTATTAAACTAACTTTATAACTTCGTGTCACTGATTTAGAAACATTAGCATTTCAGTGCATTAGCCATGCAGATTATTCACATACTTACACGTTCAATAAAAAATAAATGTAATGTAAAATTGAATTCTAGTTGCACCTGCCGATAGGAAGTCTTTCATGACAAAAAGCACAGTGCTATTGGTATACTGAGGCATCTGTGTTACTACTAAGCATGGTCTACACCTCATTTGCTTAAAGAATTAACAGATGTAGACAGGTACGTGCTCACCAACTGATCTGAAGCAACTTAAGTGTGTGTAACTTGGAACTGTTAGCTACAGCCCTTAAAGACAAACCAATTCACTAACAACAGTATCCGTGGGCTTCTCATACTTTTCAATGGGCAATAAATTAACTTACACTGTCTTAAGTGGTAGTTTAAACTAACCTCTCTCAGTATGTCTTCAAGCACACTGGTAGAGGGGAAGGTGATAGCGGGATTTTTAGGTTCTTCTTACCCCAACCACAGAGAAGTACCTGCCCATATTACAAAGGACTTTTGGGGGTCAGGTGAAAAGATACTAATTAAGATTAGTCAAATGCTGAAAGAATGGATTAGAAAAATCTCTTTGGACATCTCTAAGAGCTTGACTTCACACAACATGGAAAACATATTTATGTATCACCTATATTTAAATTTTATATTCTGTTGAGTTAAACTATTAGAAGAATCTTTATATGGCATGAAATTTAACTTTGTCATCTATATAAAGCAACAGAGTTGTTCACTAAAACTTATAGTACAGTATATTCCATGCAGTGTCACTGCCACTTCAAGCAAGGCTAAAAGCAATAAGATTTGTAGTACCGCCACAGAAAACCTCCAAATCAGCCCTAGGGAAGTCACTTGAAAAACAACAGAAACCAAGCAAATAAACAGCCAAGACTCTCACATAAACTTGAGAATTTTGAACAGATTCCTACATAAATTTTTTATCTATCATGGTATTAAAATTACAGTACATTAATATATATTCTTTTTTTTTAAACTCAGAATGCAAAGAATTAAGTACTCGGAAAGTAATTTATCACAATCAGCAAATACAACACAAAATCTAATCTACTTATGATTTCTTAAAGTATAATTAGTACATACAAGGTGATCACAGAAGAAAGATCTTCCACCTCTAAATAAAACTTGTTCTCATTTTATCCACTTTGTTTTTGCAGACTTACATATAGGTTGCTCATTTTAACAGAATTTAAACTGTGAAATTACTGAGCAGAAAAAAAAAAAAAAAGTGCCAAGTTGTGACACTCATACACATGAGAACTGGGGCTGTTCAGCCTTGAAAGGAGGTGGCTGAGAGGGGATCTTATTAACGTATATAAACACCTGAGGGGTGGGTGTCAAGAGGATGGGGACAATCTCTTTTCAGTGGTGCCCAACAACAGAACAAGAAATAATAGGTTTCAGTAAGAACATGGGAAGTTCCACCTCAACATGAGGAGAAACTTCTTCACTGTGAGGGTGGCAGAGCCCTGGCACAGGCTGCCCAGAGAGGATGCGAAGTCTCCTGCTCTGGAGACTTTCACACCCGCCTGGACGTGTTCCTGTGTGGCTGCCCTGGGGGATCCTGCTCTGGCAGCGGGGCTGGACTGGATGATCTCTAGAGGTCCCTTCCAACCCTGAACATTCTACGATTCTGCATATCAATAAAGATAAAACAGCACTACCTGCTGAAATCATTGTAAATGACTCAGTCTGACAAAGTAATATTTAAATAGATTATATATCTGTAAGATATATTGATCCAAGTGTAGCTGCAGGTTCTAGAGAAACACAGTTGCCAAAAACGAAGGGGAGGTTGGCTGGTTAACACTGCTTCAGGGCTGCCTGTCCATGCGGAAATCTAAGACTTTCACTAAGTCTTAGATGGGATGTGTACTAACACGTTGGCATTTCTGGCATGCTGAATAAACCTGACACCAAACAGTGTTGTATATATTATGTGACAATATTTTTGCGCAACTGCATTACCAGTAATGGAAATTCTAAGCAGTACGTTGCCTTTTCATGGCTCGACAGTCATCCTCTTAAATTCAGGGTGGGTCTGTTTGCCTCGTCTAATGTTTCTCCAACATTTTTCATTCTTGTATAAACTGTCTTTACAGATGCTGTACAGATGCCCTTGAAAGGCAGTACTGTTTCTAAATTTACTTCCATTTGATCATTCTTCAGCACAGCAGTATGTTAGTTTGTCATAATTACATGGTTTACTGTAACATCATTCTTCCACAAAGTTACTACATCTTCACATCTTCCTTAAGGTTCATCATAACCACAAAACAAACAGCGTTTTTCCATGAGTATCTACCTGCTAAGATTGCTCAGTGGATGAAATACACAAGTATTTTAATCTGCTATTCTGACCTGGCTGTAAAACAAACTCATGGAGACCAAACAAAGAAATGCAGCCTCAAGTTATCTCTTTCGCAACCCAATGCACAATTTTTCCATCTCTACATGCTTTCTAGATCCAAAGAGGTAGCGAGTAACAACCTTCTGGAAATCTGCACAGCACCAGGATAAGGATCACCTGATTCCTCCTGCTTTCTTACGTTACTCCCATTTCGGGTAGCCTCATGCAAATTACAGTAGTCTCACAGTTGACAAGCCCAATATATTGCTTTTTTTTCATGCTAAAATGTCACTCTGCACTTAGGCTCCAAGCCCAAACAGATATTCCAGCTCCTAATAGGACTGTTGGGAGAACATCCATTATTACATGGAGTCTCCAAGCCCAAAAAGAAAGATGTTAATTGCCACACTACCTTGATTAGAGATATGTTAACAGAATGAAATGAACAACAAAGCAAGTAAGTTACTTCTTCTTGGAAGTAAATCTATATGAAAAAAATCAATTAACCACTACAAATGAAAACAAGCCAATAATTAACAACAAAAGCCTTCAGAGGAACGTTACACATCTTCAGCGGCACACTTAATATGGAATTACACAATCAGGTAGGCTAAAACAAAACAGAATTTTCCCTGAGAACTTAAATTTTTTTTTCAGCTTTCGAGAAAGCATTTATCATATTGATCAGGAATAGCCTTCAGTTTGTTACCTCTTACTTACTTAGTCTTCTAACAAATCTCTCTACTAAAATTAATGCCTTACCTTTGTTCATATCAATCAACTGCTGCTTCTTCTTCTGTCGCTCCAGCTTCTCGCGTTCAGCCTTCTCTTTTGCCAATTTGGCTCTCTTCGTCTTCTCCTCCATTTCTCTTCTTTTGTTGTTTTCTTTTAACGCCTCCTGCATTAGATAAAAAGAACACGTGTGTCTATATGCTGAGGAAAAGTAGAAAGAATAACAAAAACAACTATGTTAACAGAGACAGTGTATTTACATTCAACGAGCTGAGGGGGGGAAAATCCCCACAAAACAGAGACTGGCAATCATTACTTCAAGAATTATTAGAAATCTTAGAGATAAGATAATTTGCCATGTTGTTTGTACATATTAGCATTATTAGATAATAAGAAGAATGAAAACTGAAATAGCTTTCCATTTATGATGAACGAAAAAGTACCAAATTTTTCGGCAGCAACGTATCTGTAGATTATTTCATTAAGACTGTAAGTCTAGTATAAAATTGTATCTTGCTGTGTGGGGCTGACGCCAAGTTCCCACTGTGACGGATTTCAACTACAAGTCATTGAAACTCAGTTACTAAAATTTCAGCTACAATTTCTCAAACGCTTTTGTTGAAATTGCAAAAGCAGCCCGGATCCCTTAAATACACAAATCACATCAAAGGTAATGGAGAACAGTTGAATTTATAGATTAAAATTCTAAATTCTCTGCGTCGGTAGGTTACAGAAACTACCAAACTAAAACCCACAAATGTCAGAGGACACATCTGGATTAAAAAGAAAAAAAACAACACTAACCAAACAAACGAACAAAAACAAACCAACCAAACATTTCACATGCTCTTGCCTCTGTCTGGTCTAGAAAACGCTCCTTTTCCCAAGAAATTTAGCCTCAATTTCTCGCTGGCCTCCCTGCAAGCCTCCGCCCTTCAGGACAAACCTGCTCCTGCACCAGCTCTTCCCTGAAGGGCCTGCGGCTCCTGCAGCCATTTTTCACACTTTTCCTCCCTTATTCTTCACTGCCCGGCAGCAGTTTGCCCTTTCTTAAACAGTTTTTTACAGAGACACCCCCCAGCCTCGCTGCGGGGCTCAGCCCTGCCCTGAGGTGGGTCCGCTATGGAGCCAGTCAGGACCGGCTGGAACCGGCCGCGTCCGGCTCTGGGCAGCCCTGGCCTCCCCTGCTCTTGCACTTCCTCCTCACAAATGTTTTCCCAGCTCCTTCCACATGGCCACCTCTCTCAGAGGAAAATCTGAATTCCCTTAAGCCGTTCCCCAAGATCCGAAATTTCTCCTTAGTTTCGCCTTCCCCGCGGTTCATTTATCACGAAGAAATTCACCGAAATCCATCATGATGGAATTTCACCTAACACCACAGACAGGCATGATAAATGTTAGGGATAATTTTCTTATTTATATTCACAACGGCTACAAATTTATTGCTCCCTTTCCTCTCCAACTTCACAGCATTGCCAACACCCTCTGCCCACGAGTACTGTAGCTCTGGGCTTCAGGTGGTTTTGGGAGTCCCAACACACTACGTCCCACAAGCAAGAAGAACAGTGAAGAAGATAATGGATCCAAAAATGTCTGGAATTAATAAGGCACGTGCTCGTTAACGATGCTTCAGCTTAAAAAAGCTCAACAGTCAATACTTCTTAAGCACAAGGCATAAGATAAATGGTTTCTATGTCAATAATTATTTCCTCTGCAATTTAATCATGCCTTAAAATCTAGGAAAATCATGTATGTTCACAAATACAAACAAAGAGAAATATTTGCGGATGTCTTTTATATCCAAGACAACATATCATTCATTATTCCACATGTAAAATTTCCTTAGGAAATTTGGAGCAGACTCACACAGTTCTGTATATCCCTCAGAAATGACGTAACCTATGTATGTCAGTGAAGATGACTATTCACCTTACTGTGTACAAGCTAGGGAGAAACTACAGACAATGACTGTCACTTCAAAAATCAAATCCGATCTAAAGCACCTCTAAGTGTTATTGTTTATATAAATTACATCAGTGTTTGGTAATCCAAGACTCCCAAAAGCAAGGCATGGCATATTTCAGGGTGCATATGCCATTTTAAGAGTTTACTGAGGTCAAATACAACATATAACTCCTTCTTTAATCGCTGATGCTGTTTTGCAGAGATGCAGGATACCACAGTTAGCAGCAATGATAGTTTTGGATGCACTTGAAAATTGGACCACAAACTGCATTTGCTGTACCATCACAAAACCGATTGCGTCGAGAAACACCTTTTCTTCAAAAAAAGAGAATTAAAGGAGAAAATCAATGTTTTATCCTTTTTGGGTTTGGACAGCTCTGTCTCTGCACATTCAATCACACTTGACAGAGATTTCATTTTACTGTAACTTCACAGGCTGTAATGAAAGTAAACGTTCACAATCTTACGAGAGAAAGCAAATAAGAAATGCCATGGCTGAACTAGTAGCCCACTAGCCACCGACATACTATGATTACATCATAGATTCTGTCACATTTTCTAACAGGAAGACTACAGTTCACCAAACTAAACAAGCTTTAAAATTCTTTTATCTTGAAATTCAATTTGAACCAGACACTCAAGTTTTAGCTGATGGAACACAGAAAGAAAATACGGTTTGCAGTTCATAAAATATGCTGGCGTTCCAACACACAGCACAGGAGGCACAAACAGGTCCGATGAGCCTGTTAATTCTTCAAAATGCACGTTTCCTAGTCTTCCATTTTCTTCCAGGACGTAAGTGCTTTGGCTTACCTTCACATACGGTCTCTTTACAGAGACTGCAAAGGAAGAGGTGGGGACAGCAAGTAAAAATCCACTAAGGGCTAACGTGAAATACCAGAGCTTTTTCCAAGCAACCCGTTACTACAAGAGGTGCAGGTTGCGACAAACGAGCCAGAGCACCCAGCGCTTTCTGCAGGGCTCAAACTGGGCACTGGGCAAGGCAGGCGGGGGAAAGCCCAGTAGGGCATCGCTCCAACACGCCACGGGGCTCCTGGGCCCTAAACTGGCCGCTTCAGAACCAACAGTGCAGTGCAGTGCTGCACACCTACAGCTTCAGAAGCATTTTTAAAACAATAGAAAAGGGTTCCTCTAGAGAAAAAAAAAAGTATCTTATTAATTCTTGGCTTTGCTGTAGTCATCCAGGAACTGCTTTGGTAACAGCTCTAATATTTCTGACTATTATTTAGCGGATTATTTCCTGCCATCCCCAAGTCTTTTGAACCTCCTACCCTCCCAAACAATTTTATGCCACACACCTTGAAATTCAGCATATCATCTTTCCATCTACATAGCAATTCAAAATAAACATTGGGAAAAAAAAGAACAAGGGTGAACTATTTGAATCATCACCATTGTTTAACGCATGCAATCCCCTTTCTTCATAAAATTCCTCAGAACCAAACCACTTGGAATGTACTTGTTCGTTACTACCCTTCATCAGGCAGTTTGACTCTTAACCGTGTCGTATTTGCTATGTCATTTACTACTGTACATTTAATCAGAATTGGTTGAAAGCCTGAAGTAAATCATTTCCAAGGACATACTGCTAGTTGTTTTCATGTTACGTGCTGAAAACAAAATATATATATTAATCTGTATTTATAAACATATTTTATATTTGAACTAATATTGTTGACAAATTTGATCATAGTTTTTCCAAGCTGATTGAAGATGACTGTAAATAAAAGTAAAGAGAATTTTGACCCAGATATATAGTGGTTTCTGCAGCATTTGCTCTGCCTGAATTGTACCACTAAACCTTTACATTTACTTCTCTACATTTTACTGCAAAGGGTTATTTTTCTCTCTCTCGTGTGGTTTCACTTACTCGATTGTTTACTATTTCCTCACTTTCTAGACCTTCAGACTGTGGACAAGCCTAATAATTCCTAATACAAATGTGATATGATCCTGCACTTGCCTTACCACAGTGTTATTTGGGCTCTACCAATTAAAAATTAAGCCTTAAGCTAAAAGAAATGTGGACATCATCTTGTGCTTTCACCTCTCTTTTCTTTGGCATACTTTTATACTCCTTTATATTTCTCCTCTTCCAAGCTGCTGAGTTGCAGTGGACTTCTTTCAATACAGAACAGTGCTAGTTCAGGTTATCAGGTAATTTTTAAGTATCAAATGCTAGCGATATTCTTTCTCTGTAGGTCTGCAGGATAAATTACCTAAAAACGTAGAGATCAGATCGAATACTGGGGGAAAACCCAACCAACCAGCTCTGTAATTGGCACTGCTTTTAAAACACGAGATGCAGGGAAAATAGCAGTTCTGTTACTGCAACGTAGCTCAACAGTGACAATGTACATACTAGTGTTCACAGTTAGACACTACGTCATGGGTAAAAACAAATTAATTTAAAAGTTACAAGTCATAAAGCAAGAAGCAATCCACAATTAAGAATAAAAGCCTTCCCAACAGCTTCAGAGAACATTCTGAAAAGCATTCAGTTAGATAGTGCCTCTTCAAAATACGTAAGAGCATGCAAAATCTGAAATAATTTTCCAGTGAATCTCAGACAGTAATATTTCAATGCATACGATCCCTTTTTCTGATGTGCTGTTCATGACCCTCTGGTTTTGGTTGGTGCGTAATAGCATGCAGTTTTGCTAATTCAACTGCAAATTAAAAGTTAGAGAAAGTTTGACTGTGGGCTTTTTTTGTTTTATTAAAAAACCCAAAAATAAACAAACAAAACCAAATTATTGTCTCTCTTTGCAGGGAAATACATTCAGCAAGAAGTGTTATCTCTTGTTAAGGGAGGTAGTTGAAGGGGCATGTAGCCTGATGTTCTCCCTTGTGTTTATCAGGATTCACCGAACTAAGGCTCTTGTGCTCAGAACTGCCAGTTTATAGCTCGGATTCCTTAAGAAGCAAATAAAAAATTAATGTATCTCTTCCATTCTGTACATATCTTAAGTTCTGACAGACAAACAGATATTCACCCATCAACATGGTTGTAAATAGATTCTCAAAGGTAAATTATTAAAAACAAGAAGAAAACAAACTGTAATGCACAAATCTCCTTGGATATTAAAGATGCAGTTGGCTACAAAGCAGTCATGCACCAATAATGAAGGCTGCCTGTGATCCCTCAGGCCTTCCCTAAATTTGCCTTGCAACTGCAAA